TTCATCTGATGTGACATAATTGTAATTGTGTTTTCGAGAGTGAGGAGCTAACTCATGTGTGTTGAAGTGCTGGTGAGCATAGCGATTGGTTTCAGTTGTGATGTGATTTACCAAGTCGTCATCCAGAAAAAATTTTAATCCAGAAAAGGGATGCATTTTATGTGTTATATCAATTTTGATCCCGAAACTATTAGCAAATGGAAATATTGGGGGTACAATGTCTCCGTACGTTCATGAGATGGGCGTGTCAGGCACCGCACTCGTGGTAGGTAAATGTTCATGATTACTGTCTTGTGGATCATTGTCTATCACTGTATTATTGTCACTATCAACTTCATCCAATTCAGGAATCATTATTTCATCGCCACTATCATCATCAGAACAAATCTCGTTCACAACATTTTCCAACTGGTCTGTAGGAACACGAAGAAACTTGCTGCAAGAAGCCATGGGTAAAACTGAATGAATGTGAAATATTTTCTGACCTTTTCCTTCTCAGAGGGTTCTGACAGTAATATAGACCCCCACAAAGTTTACAAGGGTTCTTTACAAACATGCACAAAAACTATCATATATATGTCTTTGGTTTATGTGTGCCAAGAGAGCAAAGAAGGGAAGAGATTATCAAAGCGTTAAAACACGCCAACGCCAGGGAACGGCTGGCATCGTCCAGGCATTAAAACACGCCCGCGCCAGTCAAAGAGTTAACACACAGTGCTAATGTGGAACTCCCCGAGACCTTTGTATGTCGTTAATAGAAATATACTAGCAGTAGTTACAAGGGATATAACATGATGTTGTTCATGAAAAGTCAGCCATCGTATTTCCGCTTGCTACCTGCTATATGTTGGTTTCATGCTTGGCATATCTTCATCCCTGAACATGGAGGTGATATGTTCCTCTGAAACATCCATTGACCTTCAGCAGACTACATGGCATATCCCGGAAGATAGAAATCTTCATTGTGCACTTTCACTACTTGTGTCAAATCGCATGGTGACACTCCTCCCCATTATGTTCCATACTGTCTTAGAAACTACTGGGCTATCCGCCACATAGTTTGGACATGTGACCGTGTGAATTCCATTTAGTTGGCCCACTAAAGAAAATGCTACAGGTTCATAGATTCAGGTCAGAAAAAGATTGCAAGACTGCTATGTTGCTGTGGTTCCAGCATCAACCCAGGCGTTCTTTGCAGGGGACAGCCTTCGGCTGATGCATCAGTGAGGTGGCTGGAACTATTTTGAATTACCTCAGTTCCTTCCTCCTGAATATGCTCCCCATACAGGTTTACTTTGAACAGTCCTCATAATTAGCATATTTTGGTTCATTATGATAATCAGTGTAAACAGTCATTAGTTCATGGAGAACGGATTTCGACTTTGGCCATGCATTGTATTGTTCCTACATTTTGGTATACATTGCAGTCACCATCTGCAGGGAGAAGGGGGGAGAGCAAGGTTTGACGTGGTATGTAGGTCCCACATTAGGTACAGAGCCCGAACACTTAATGTCTGTATAATCATTTGGTATATTCTCAATTGAAAATAGTGAAAGGTGTCCATTGTTTGTTGATTTCTGTACCTGTTCCATAGGCCCTTAAGAACTTTCAGCTTTGTTGAAAGTTTGGCTGAATGTTTCATGGCCTTCTGCCTTTGGGCTTATGTTGCTGTGTTCTTTATTGCAGTGACTAGGATCCACTAAAATGTTACCAGTGCAGCTGTCGCCTAAGTTTAAAAATTGGCAATTTTATGTGAGATTTGAAGTGATTGTGTTGATGACCGGAAAGTTCTGTCTTTTTGATCGTGCCTTTATGTAGTCTGAAAGAAGTTTACCAACATTTCATAGGAAAGTACTGCCTTTGTATCTAGTGGTCAGCATTCCTGGCTACAGATCCAGAGGTCCAGGTTCGATTGGCGGCGCTACCAGATTTTTTCGGAGAAGTACTGGGTCTGGAGCAGGGTCCACTCAGCCTCATGATGATAATTGAGGAGCTATTTCAAGGAAATAGCGGCTCCGGTCTAGAAAACCGAAATTAACGGCCGTGGCAATTCGTTGCACTGACCACGCGACACCCTCTCTCCGCAAAAGTTGGCACCAAACTTTGCCGACAAGCGACAGTTGCTCGGTCGGTATAGTTCGCTTGCAGACAAAAATCACGGAGTTTGTTGTTTGTATGCAGGATTAGTAGACCCATCAGACAGCTGATACCTTTCCCTGTGTACGGGTGTAATCTTGTACGAAACCCACTTTCACCTGTTCTTTCAAGTTCTAGTCCATTTGTTTTGGCTTCTGATGTGGTGCAGTGGTGTGATGCATATAGTAATGTGTGCACAGCCATTACTTTTTAAAGAGAGAGACTGGTCTCTCAGTCACCTCACATTATTCTCATTATGCCACACGCATATCAGACATGACTCGGTTTCAAGCATAAATCCCTAAGACTCCTACAGTTGATATTGTTTCACAGGTATTTAAGTGTACTGACTTGTTGGGTTTTGTTACATATGAAGTTACTTAATGGCCATCTGTAGTGATCCCTACACCTGTGAGAGCTCAATATAGTGGTGAGCTACAGGCTGGATGGCCAAACAATCAGGGTTTGATTCCTGGCAATATTGGGAAGAGATTTTTCTGATGTCCACAGTGGCTCTGGGGTCGGCCCAGCCTCCTATAGGGTAGGTGCTGGAGAACTTTCCTTAGAGGTAAAGTGGCTGCACCTTGAAGCTGAGCAAGCACTGACCTCCATCTAGCACCAAATAACAGTAGAGCTATACCTCCACTCCCCAGTATGTCTTCATGCTGCGGTGCTCAATTAATTATGGTCAGTGACATCTTTACCTTGTGCTCTAATGTAGTAGTCCTTATGTGCAGGTCAGTCTGGGTATTCTGCGTACAAGTACATCCCATATGGGCCAATCAACGAAGTGTTGCCATACCTGTCACGACGTGCTCATGAGAATAAAGGCATTCTGAAGAAGATCAAAAAGGAGAAGACGCTACTCTTGCGCGAACTCCGTCGCAGGATAACTTCTGGCCAGATCTTTTACAAACCCAGAGGCAACTATGTGCCTGTGTGAGGGTGGGGCACAGTTGGAGTGTTAGTGGTCTCAACACCAGAGCATGCTGCTCAGTGCCAAGCCATACCCTGGTGACTGTTACAGCTGCAATTCCTGTCAGTAACTGTACTTAATTGACACGTGGCTTTGACATTGAGTGTCATCTTCTGTCATCTTTATAAATATTATAAATATGGTGCGAATGTTGCATTGGAGTGGCTGTGGATGTTTGGTGTAGCAAGCCAAGACTTGTGTATGTTGTCTGTGTAGTTTACAAACAAACTGTGTGAACTGAATAGCACTGCAGTCCCATAAAGTCAGTATTGAAGTGGGACCGTTGGAATGGGATTGCTCATGTCAGGTTAGGGGGTGACAGTCTGGACAGAATGCAGTGGACCAGTGCACTGTACCAGGCAATTGTTTCTTCCATTCCATCAATTCCCTCAGAATTCCAGTTCCTTAGGTTTTGCGTTTAGAGTCATGGTAAAATACCATTGAATTTTGAGTTGAATTTTATATGTCTATCTGATTTTTGTTTGGTTATTTACCCTAAAGTATTTTAATTTAGGGGACAATTCACACCAAAGCGGCAGGTAATAAGCAACCAGCAATATGCAGTTTTGTATTACCTGTATATTCTCAAAAACATTGAAACATTTGATAATTAGAGATCATGTTCTTAAATGATGTATCCATTGCGTACCACATGTTACAGAAATTGCAGAATTTGGAAATGAACGTTAAATGTAATGTTTTGATTTATCTGGAATGGAATAGTCATAAAGGTAACAGTACTTTTGTGTAACTTGCATGACTTTGATATATTTTTTTGTCACCATGATAACTGTCCGCTGCAATACAGTAACATGTAGTTGTGCAAAATGAGCTGTTCAGTGATGTCAAACAAATGTTGTTTCCAAGAGCAGCCACAAGAAGCTACTGCAACATGAGTCACTAGAGTACAGAGCAAATAATTCTCTTTACTTATCATACAAACCATGTATTGCAGTACCTATGTGAGTGGCTGTCAATGAAATACACTCAGTTCATTAGAAGTGATACACATCATTTGGTTCCTGTTGCTAGTGCGTTAGTGTGAATCTTCCCTAACAAAGCTTACACATCAAAGTATTATTTATGATATTGTATTGGAAGGATAAGACTGAATGGACATTTCCTTCTGTGAAACAGCACCACTGTACTTATTGTCTACTGTACTGTCATTGTATTTATTATGAAGTACAAACTAAAAGAAGGCATGTTTTCGCAAACTCTAAATTTTATAGTTCATGTCAGTGGCTGAAAGTTGCAAAATAAGATTATATATGCCCAAGACATGTATTCACTCAATTGTAGTAAAATACAGTAAACACGTGAGAATGTATTCTCTTGGTTGTAGTAAAATGTGGTAAACATGTGATTAAAGGAAATGCTTATTAGTGAGTAGACATTGTTTTGTCATCTAGGCTCGTCTCATGAAGCACCTATTTACATTCTCAACCGAATGTATGACTAGGTGACAAATACATGCTTGTTGCTGTCTTGTTTCTTTGCATTCATCATCCTATATGGCGAAAATTATACATTTCCAAGATGTCTGTAAGATTGGTACTCATTGCTTGATTTTAAAATCTCAGAACTTTTCGGGGTGGGTTTGAGGTTCTCAAGGCAGTAACTATGAAGATTAATGTCTTTTGACAGTGATGCCAAATTGTCTGGTAGATATTTATTGGTGGTCTAGAAGAACCTGTTGCCTTTGTCTTCATGTTAGAGACCCTGAAGGTTTATGTTACCAGGCTGCATGACATCACATCCCAGAAGTCTGCAGTATTCAATACAGAGCAGATGTTCAACATACACATTCTGCAGATTGTGGTCTTGAGGGTTATGTCACAGTATGCTGTTGGAGGTGGATACCACTGTTTCAGAGGGATATGCTCCCTCTTTCCTCGAGGCTGAAGTGATTGGAATGAGGATGCAGCAAGATTATTCCTGTAAAGACTGAATTTCTTCTAAATAATATATACAAATTCAGTTCATACCTCACAGAAAACATGTTATGTCTCCACTACAAAGCCAAAGATTACTGCTGTATAGGGAAACAGTCACTGTTTACTGTGAAAATCATAACAAACATAGAGAAACTCTGGTAGAATGCAGAGTTTTAGTAGGATAAAGCTGGTGGTACATATAGTAATGACTGGGTTTTAAAGAGTTATGTAAGCAGGGTTCTTCCATCTTTCCCTTCATTGGTTCTGAGTAACCCAATTTCTTATCACAGGACCCATGTGCATGACACCCTTGCCCTAATCACATTAACCCAGAGAATGGCATAATTTTCCTCTAAATTGTTGGTATCCACCTGTGATATATAGTATAATAACCTGGAGGACCACAGTTTGAACAGCTCACCATGGTTACCTTCGAAAGCCTTAAATGTGACTGTTATTTAGGATGTCTATTGTCTGTTACCTGTTAGGAGTACCAGTGATTAAGACTTTCTAATGGGCCCAACTGAACATGAGCTTTTCCACACTTGCACATGATCACAGAAAAATACGATAGTTTCTGTAGGATTCTGTTTAAAAAAAAAAACTAAAAAAAAATGATGGAAACTTCCCAAAGCAACAGTCACATTTACTGTAACATGCCAATGGAAACAGTCAAGACTTGGTAACCTATGCACACATTGTAATGAATCATATCTGTCACTATTATGAATAAAAGAAATGCAAATTAACGTGAGCATCTCAAAACTGAAAAGAAGGAACTAAAGTAGTTAACAGGCACAACTCTAGCTACATCTGCCCATAAGATGTAACTGTACTGTATGGAATCATGATTAGGTGTGGGATATAGCACCCTTAGTCCCTTGAAGGTCACAGACATTTCAAAGGAACATGTCTCCTCTGTCTTTAGGGCCAGAGGACTTCCTGCTTACCACCTGCTTTAATGCTGGTTTTTTGCTTTGCATATTCTTCGGCCCTGAAAATGGAGAATACATATTCATCTGAAATGTTGGTTGAATTTCAAAGGTCTACACAGTGTTATATCCCAGAAGACTGAACTCTCATAACCCCTGCTGTGAGAGCCTCAATAATCCTGCATGATTAAGTGATTTACATGATTTTCCTCATTCATTCTGGGATAATTTAGGCATGGAATTGCAGTGCCATACACTTCTGTTCATCATGGCTCATCAGTTGCCAATAGTGGCAATTGAATGGACTTTTAGCCAGTTTAGAATCAGTTCAACAGAAATCATCATCGTGCCTTATGCTATGACAATACAGCACCAATTGTAGGATGTACGTAATTTGAGGCAAGGAAGCAGAATTACAATTGAGTAAGTACAGGAGACCTTTTTAATGAAAGGCTGCCACTGATACTTTCCTTCAAAACAGTATTCTTTTTTTTTTTTTTTTTTTTTTTTTTTTTTTTTTTTGTATTTTTATTTTTGTGTGCCACTGAGTACTTTGTTGCGAAAATGTGCCTTACTGCAGGTGTGAAAGCTTGTTCATGCTGGTTCTGTATCTGTGATGTGTGTGCGGGCAGTTGGTTTGTCTCATTACTCGTGTACACACAGCATTTCTTGAATATACCCAGAGTCTCATCACAGTACTGTTGTTACTAATTTTAACTCTCTTGTACCTAAAGCAAGATGGTGGATTTGAAACCCTAGAAAATATATGAACAATGACTGGAGATTCCTGTCCCACTCTTCTTTACCATTCATCACCTTCGTCTTTACACTGTTGACAAGTGAAGCAGTGAACAGTGATTTTGGAATGCATGGTGCAGTCATCCAGTGTGAGCGCCTTTCCCAAGCAATACTGTCACTTCTTTTTGGAGAAGGGAGCAGCAGTCAAACCTCTATCTTGGTTTTTAGATATGTTAAGCCTGTAGTACATGCAAGGAGAAGCATTATTGTTTTGTAATTGCTTTGGTGTATATGGGTAAGTAGGAACAATTCTATGGTTGAAGCAAAGCCCAGAAGAGCGTAAGACTGCCACCTGATGTGGCATGCCAAATATCAGCATGACTGAGTGTGAACTTCAAAACATTCAATTCATTATCTGAATTTCTGCATTTCATTTGATACCATACATCCTGCAGCACATTGCCATTTGAATTCTGAATTATTTAATTGCTGAAAAGTGTTCAGCATTGTTACTCTTGGCAATGAAGCTCTTTTCTTTTTTAATTATTGTATTGAAGGATGTAACAGTATGTAGCCTGGTAGAAGTTTCCTGATATTTCAGAGTAATGTACTCCCTACATCTTCAGGGTCAAAAAGGAAATGTTTACTGTTTGTTTGGCTTCTTCTTTGAGTGTGAAGATGGAGGCAGTACTTTATTCCAAAACACTAGGAATTCCTACCGCACAATTTGGCATCACGTCCCGGAAGATGGTAATTTTTATAGTGACCATTATGAGAGTCTTAGATGTTTTTCTTTTTACCAGGAAATGATAGGAATAATTCCTATATTGCCAACAATTTGGGTTTTAAAAGCATTACTTCTTGCAAAGGTAAATGATATATATGTACAAACTCCTTAAGAGCTTCAAATGAAAGGGGGCAGGGGGGAACCCCCCTCAGATGTTGCTTGAATATGTTTTTTCCAATGAAATGCAAATAGGTGTCACATGCTGTCAGATACAGCATAGTTTTTTATGATAGTGGCACTTGTAAGGCTAACAGAAGAATATTGAGAACTCTTTGAGTATATTATGATTATATATCTGTGGGCTGACAGAAGTAATGTCATGTGACATGGGGTGAGAAGATGCTGTTCTTTAGCTGGAGGAAAATGCTTGTTAGGATCTGGGCCCTTAGTGTAAAGCATTGTTTACATATGGGGTTGCCAATTGGATGTGAAGCTGAAGTGTGTTGAAATAGTGTGAGGATGGCAGAGAGAGTTTTATAATTCCATGAAAATTACTGTCTTCTGGGGTGAAACGCCATGGTAGATCATTACCAGGATTTTGGAGGAATCTGCCACCTCCATCTTCAGGTTAAAAGAGTAAGCTGGCCAAGGAGAAGTTTTTATGAATACAGGAAGAAGGAGAACTGGAAAGGAGGCTCAGAATCAACCAGGAGGAGGTAGAGAGAGTTCAGTAGAACAGAGGCACTTCTAAGGGTCTTATACAAGGGCACTTTGCCATTATATCTCTCATTCACTCTCTCTTTGGGAAATCGCCTTTAAAGTCAGTATGCTCTGCTTTGTTCACCTTGCTCGTATCGAGTGGCAGAGAACCCCAATCTTAGGTTTTGCTGTCCATAGATCCAGACAACTTCTTTCCATGTTCAACTTACTGTTCTGCCTGAGAAATAGAGGTAGCAGGTTGTTCCGAAATGTTGTGCAAATCTAGCAGACTACATGGTGTTAGAGTAAAACCTCATAATCACTGCCATGAGAATCCTAAATCTCTTGCAGAGCTGGCAGCAAGCTTGAAGTGAGGTGGTCATTGTTCGTTACTGGGACACAGAGGTACTGTGCTGTAAGTTGGTATAAACAGGGTCACCTTAACAGTTTATTTCACATCAAACAGGGAAACCTACAATACACATTCATTGTGACCAGAAGCAAGACATGTTCTAGTACTTCTCAGTATGGCATATCTTGTAAAAGTTGTAAAATCGCTACATGTGAATGTAAAAATACAGTATCACTGTTGTAAATGTATATAATGATATAAACAATGCAGTGATATGATGGATCAAAGGCTGACACTTCTTACACCACACTTTATGTCTGTCTGTTGATATGGATAAAATCTTCTTTGCTAGATTGCTGCATCTCTGATGACACTTCCCTCAAATCCAGGGCACCACGGGTGTGGTTTAGACATTCCTTCTGCCCTCAAAGACTGTAAACCAATTTTATTTTCATCGAGTGTCTTCTATATGCTATAAGGTAAAAAGGTAAAGGTGTCCCTGTGCTCAACGAATTTAAGCACTACATCATGAAGGCGTATGGGAGAGTGGATGTATACATCCACATTTTCTTGACCTCAGCACTAGCTGGAGGTGAGTGGTCAGCTTCACTCCCTGGCCGCTTTACCCCCTGGTACCCATTGGGTAGACCCCAGAGCTGATCTGGACAATTTGGTGAAGAGAAAATTCTTTACCCTACTGGGACTCGAACTCTGACCCCTCAGCTGACTGCACTACCCCAGCTCCTCTTTTGTATGCTATAGTCATTTTAATGTTTGCCTTGCGTTTTTGTCACGGCAGTGGTTTCCAAGCTTAACGCAGTGGTGCCTCCTCTGTATAGTAAAGATTTCAGTACACTACCCCTCCTAATGGTGTGCACATTTGAACAGCTTTTTTGGTTTTTATTTTTCAAGTTGATGCCTTTTGGGTCTTTGTCAATTAATAATATTTGTCAAGGTTTTATGGCTGCACAAAAATAAAATGTCATTCTGTGGCATTTTCAGAATCATAATCCAGTTTTACTGCCTAACTACCAGAATATCCGATGCCTGATCCTCCAACTGACCAACCAACTGGTCTGACACTTTGGAAACCACTGCATCAGACATTTAGGAGGTATTCTTTGTACCTGATAAGAATGTGGCTTCTGGCGCCCTGTACCCATCAGACGATAGGTTGAAAACACCCACAGTCTTGAGCAGCAATCAAATTCTGACGCAATAACTAACAAATTCTATAGAGCAGGAACATTCTTGAGAAGCTAGTAGTTGCTCAGCCAGTTACTTCAGTTAGCTGTAGTTTCCTGCATATAACTCAGTGTGTTATCACGTCATTTGGATGCTGATTCCATGAGTAAAACTCCACATCGCTAGAGTAAATTTCAGGGGCGCTTCTTACAGTGGCTTATTGATTCAGAATGAGCATGTAACATGTCTTTCCCACTAAACAGTCGAGGTGATGTACAAAGTTACTTGCAGGCGACTAGAACTCTGTGGAAGAACAGCCCTTCTTGAGAAACTGACAGTGATGCAGCTGGCTGCTGCAGATAACTAGCAGCTTGGAGTGATGCGTGCTTCTTCAGAAGGTGGTTTCCAAAGAATTGCCTAATTATGTGTTCAGTCTTGTTTTGTAACACGGTGTGTGTGTCATGTGGAGTGGGCTCGGTTATGGCACAGCTTTGGTCACAAGTTGGTAAGGTTTGTCTTCAGCTTGCGGCGGGACTCGAGTCGCATTTCGAGCCATGCGTAGGGTGCTACAGCCAAGACAAGAGTTGCTGCTAGAGCGTATAGTTTGAGCCAGTTGCAGACATCTCCGTGGAGCCCAAATGCCAGTGACAGCCCCAGGAAGCGGAAGAAATAGCAGTGTGCCAGGGGAGCCTGCCAGGAGTCTGGATACACTGTCACAAGAAGTGCTGCAACAGAAGGGCATGTTTGCTTCTCAGGACTCTGTCTTATCTTGCTATAAAGATGGGTTAAAAAAAGTTGTGCCTCTGATGAAGTAAGTAAGCATTATGATATGAAGGTGTATGGGGGAGTGGATGTATAGATCCATATTTTCTTGACCTCAGCACTAGTTTTTGATGAGTGGTCAGCTTTACACCCTGACCACTTTACCCCTGGTACCCATTGGATAGGAGGCTGGGTGAGCCCCAGAGCCAGTCTGGTAGATACGGAGAAGAGAAAATTCTTGAACACGCCAGGACGTGAACTCCAACCCCTTGGTCATCCAGCCCATAGCCAGTCGCTATACTGACAATGCTATCCCGGCTCTCAGCAGGAAAGATGGTGAAGTCAAAATTATTCAGCAGTATCACAGAATTTTCCATATTAAAAGATCAAACAGAATGTAGGTTACATCTCCAGCACAATAATTTCCATTCAGTGACAATGAAATGCTGATTTCAGTCCTTAAAGTGTTAATGCTGTGTCATAACACGACATATGAGCACAAGCATAAAGCTATGTTCCAGGCTTGACATGTTTTCAGGAAGTGGGTAGAGGAAATGGCCTCCAGATGTGCAGTGTAGCTGCATATACATTGAATAAGCAGACAAGGGGCGTTCCTCCTGCTTCAGTTTGTTTAAGGGAGCTAACTTCTTTCGATATAATATTAGCATATTACAAAATGTTTTACAGCACCTCAAACTAATTCTTTGGCACTGTCTAAACCAGCATTGGCCAACCTAATACATCTCGAGGGCCAAATTTAGTTTATNAACAGTGGGAGGTGCACATCAAAATAGGAATGTGGAATGTTAGGGTCTCTATAGGTCAGGTTTATTGAAATTGAGATAGAAGGAAAATGCATGCAAAGTTATGGTAGGAGGACCTGGGCTTAAATGGTAAGATAAAATTAAAATTACTCATACGCAGGATGGGAGGTTGTCAGTCTGACGACACGATCGTGAACTTAGGTTGCATGGAATGGCGAAAATTTCTTCAGTAGCTGGGTAACTGTTAACTTGTCTAGGACTCTGTTTCATGTAGTTAGCATAAAATAAGTTTGTCTCTGTGCTCCTAACTAAGTAGCACGCCATGAAGGCGTATGGATTACAGTACCTGTAGCATCTCCCATTCTTAACCCCGATACTCGAAATCGCGTCTTCAGCTTCTCGTCCCTGCGCCCTTATCCCCCCCCCCTGTTCCAGAGGGGAAAGCAGCGGTGCCCATCGGATAAGAGGCTAATGGGACACTACTGCCAGGCGAGAGAAAAATCTCTGGCCCCTGCCGGGAATCGAACCCCAATTTTCCGGTAACCCAATTCGTAGCCTGGACACCATACTCACTGAAGTTGAGCGTCTCCCAGATGGCGTTGCAGACGCCCCACGCTGCCGAAATGACGTAGAAGAGGGCGGGGTCATCACCAGATGGTTTCCATAGCAGCAGAACTAGCAATAGGCAGTTATGGAAAGCGAAACCAACGGCTGCAACAGACACAAGATAACAGTTGATCATGACTTCCAGATCGGGAATCATGGCTGAAGATTTTATGTTTTTCCTCAGTCCCTTCAGGCAAATGTTTGATAGCTTCAAGGGACCTTAAAATATGTCCTTGGATTTGAGGTTCTGACGACAGGGATTATAACTGTCTTCTGGGATGTGATGCCGTGTAGTCTGGTAGAAGTTTAGCAACATTTCAGAGGATCTTACTGCACCTTGATGCTTGCTCGACTTATTTTTTCGTCCTGATTAAGGTGGCAGTACCTTCCTCTGGAATATCTGTAAACTTCTACCAGACTACATGGCATGACATACCGTAAAATTAACATCGTTGAATTGTAAAGTGATCACTGAATAATGATTGGAAAAGTTTTGCGAGGAAGCAGTAGTGTCCTAATTTGAGATACTATCCGGGGATTTGTTTGTAGGGTCTGAGGAAAATCACGAACAACCTGAGTTAGGATGTCCGGTGTCGCGGAGGTGATTCGCGCCGGTCACATCCGTAATGCAAGTCAGATTAAGAATTCTATCGTCTCAGATGTGACGCCGTGTAGTTCGGTAGAAGTTCGCCGAGGGTCCGGCAAACGTACTGCCTCCATCTTCAGGGCCGAAGATTAAACCAAGCAGAGGTCTCTGTTTGCTTCTTCAACCATTTAACCCTCGGAAATGCCAGTGAACTTCGCCCTGTCTACACGGCCTCAGATCCCAGGAGATGTTACCCTTCACCGGAATGAGAACCTCAATTTCGACGGAAGTTAAGCGCATGTTGCTTGACCCAGCTTGTCCAGTTTGATTGTATAGTAATGTGACATCACGGCAGCGCCATAGCTCAAGCGGTTAGTCTCTGGCTTCGCACCGCGCAGGCCCGGGTTCTAGCCTGGGTCTGGTCAAGTGGGATTTGTGGTGGACAAAGTGGCGCTGTGGTAGGCTTTCTCCGAGTACTTCGGTTTACCCTGATAATCTTCTTTCCACCAAGTTCTCCATTGTCATAATCGCCCGGGGCAGGTACAATAGGCCGCCGTGCCGAGGGGACCCAGCTGGACTCCACCCTCCACTATGCGGATTAAAAAAAATGGGACATGACTACTGAAAGCCGGAATAGTGGAACGGATAAAGGCAGACAGTTGACACATCATAAAGCAGCAGTGGTAAAGTCTCGTACAGGCAACGTTACGGAAGAAAAATCCTGTATGAACATGTCCGAATGCCCCACTGGAGTATGAATACAGGAAGTACGTACTTCTGACATAGAATCTAGTAAGTTTCTAATGATGACGTAACAGTCTACGTCATAACTGACGATTACGCACCCTAATTCCTGTAGCAGTTAGGGATTCAGGATTATTTTGATTAAAACTGTTGTAGCTAGAAGAACTCTGAAAAAGAGTCAGTCTCCGGTCTGTTCTGTGAGCAGTGCTTACCGATGACGACACAGCGATGGATGTGACGTAACATCATGCTAAGGGTGAAAGCAGCGAGGGACTGCAAGGCTCCGAGGCTCAGGAACACGAGGTTGACATTGGGCAGGCCCAGTGCGCACACAACATATGACTGCAACAAAGAAACTGCAGGGTGGCAAGTATACTCTGCCAGAAATGTACATCATTCCATCAGTAAGCAGCCTTAACTGACTGACTGGCTGTCTGTCTTCAGGAGCCGCTGCAGACATTTCCAGCATTTTGTTGGACCCAATCGCCCATTACAACACTCACTAGAGCCCACCATTAGTCCCTATCCTGAGCAAGATAAATCCAGTTACTAACCCTACCCTAATTCTCTAAGATCCACTTTAATATTATCGTCCTACGTCAAGGCCTTCTTAGTGGCCTCTTTACTTCAGGTTTTACCACCAAAACCCTACATGTCCTGCTCGTATGATCTTCCCGGATTTGATCATTCTGATGATATTTGGCGAGAAGTACAAATTGTGGAGCTCTTCATTAATGCAGTTTCTCCAGTGTCCTATAATTTCATCCCTCTCAGGTGCAAATATTCTCAAGCACTCTTAGTCTATGTTCTTCCCTCAACTGAATAAGCAATCTTACGGAAGGAATGTCCTGTGTGTTCAACAAGATCTCCCATGTGTTCCTCAAAGGACCTCCGTTTGTAGGATTCACGATACTGTACCCACATCTCGAGGGTACTTTGCACACCGTCCGGTATTATGAAGAATGCAGTGTTTCGGAAACTGGATCTCTTTCCATTCTCAAATTAAATTGTGAGGCACATACTCTGTTGGGTCGGTTAGAGAGAATTAATCTGTCAGTGACAGAGGTTAGGTCTTTCTAAGATGTGTTTCACCTGAAGACGGAAAGAGCTCCAGTTTCCGAAACGCTGTCTTCTTCAGAGTACTTAACGATGGGCAAACAACAAAGAACTCAGCAAACTGAATGTCACACGCCTTTGTTAGAAACCTTCAGGAGTGATACCTGAATCTGCAATTAATGTTGATTTAGATTATACAAACTAATAATTTTGCCGGTGGTTCTGTATGGGTGTGAAAATTGGTCTCTGATATTAAGGGAGAAACATAGACTGAGGGTGTTTGAGAACAGGGTGCTGAGGAGAATATTTGGACCGAAGAGGGATGAAGTGACAGGAGGTTGGAGAAAACTGCATAATGAGGAGCTTCATAACTTGTACTCTTCTCAAAGTATAATTAGAATAATCCAGTCAAGGATGAGGTGAGCAGAGCATGTAGCGCGAATGTGAGAGAAAAGGAATGCATATAGGATATTGGTGGGAAGGCCGGAATGAAAAAGACCACTGGGAAGACCAAGGTGTAGGTGGGTGGACAATATTAAAATGGATCTTAGAGAGATAGGATGGGATGATATGGATTGGATTGATGTGGCTCAGGATAGGGACCAGTAGAAGGCTCTTGTAACAACGGTAATAAACCTTCAGGTTCCATAAAATGCTGGGAACTTCTTGAGTAGCTGCAAATTTGGCTTCTTCTCAAGAAGGGCTCAACTCCATAAATAAGTAAGCATAAGTAAGACAGTGATGTGTCCTCGAAGTTGTATTAGACGGATTATAGCAAGTGGACCTGCAACCTCAGCAGTGATGCTCTTGGGGCATTGAGGCACTCACCTTGCTGAAGTCGGCTAGCATGAAGCCCTGTTCCAGCCCTATGAACACCGCCAACGGAGCTGTCAGTTGCAGGCATGGATCCCTGAACGCATTGAACACTGCCCTGAGTGCTGCCACTCCAGTGGGCCTCTCAAGCGGGTCCTGATACATAAACATCCGGATCCGGTCCAAGAATGCTGCCGTCACCGCAACACCCATCACGGAGCAGCCCAGGAAGACACTAGCCAACATTGCGGATGTTTTGCACGGCAACATGAAGACCAGTTGGCCATCGTCTGCTGTTGAGTTGGGTCCCTGAGTCACACTTGTGATCGGACATGCCTCACTGCCACAGACACGCTCCTGGCTGTCGTCTGTCAGGAACAGGGCGTCGAGGCGCTGCGGGGACTCTGTATCATCTAGGACAGTCAGTACGAACTACCTTACAGCGTGACCAAGTCAGTGAGATAACCACGTACCCTGGGTATATCAGCGGTAAGCCATTAATAAGTATATGAGAACTCTGAGGCACCCACCTCGCTAAGTATATGAGAGCTCTGAGGCACCAACCTCGCTAAGTATATGAGAGCTCTGAGGCACCCACCTCGCTAAGTATATGAGAGCTCTGAGACACCAACCTCGCTAAGTATATGAGAGCTCTGAGGCACCCACCTCGCTAAGTATATGAGAGCTCTGAGACACCAACCTCGCTAAGTATATGAGAGCTCTGAGGCACCCACCTCGCTAAGTATATGAGAGCTCTGAGACACCAACCTCGCTAAGTATATGAGAGCTCTGAGGCACCCACCTCGCTAAGTATATGAGAGCTCTGAGACACCAACCTCGCTAAGTATATGAGAGCTCTGAGGCACCCACCTCGCTAAGTATATGAGAGCTCTGAGACACCAACCTCGCTAAGTATATGAGAGCTCTGAGGCACCCACCTCGCTAAGTATATGAGAGCTCTGAGACACCAACCTCGCTAAGTATATGAGAGCTCTGAGGCACCCACCTCGCTAAGTATATGAGAGCTCTGAGACACCAACCTCGCTAAGTATATGAGAGCTCTGAGGCACCCACCTCGCTAAGTATATGAGAGCTCTGAGGCACCCACCTCGCTTAGTATATGAGAACTCCGAGGCACCCACCTCGGTAAGTATATGAGAGTTATGGAACATCGCTTGGCCATGTACTTCATAGTGGTGAGGCATCAGTACACATGTGAGAGAGCTGTGAGGCACTCAATTCGCTATGAGCATATTTCGCACTCAAGATGTTCTATTGTTATTGTTCTGGCTCCTAACTTTTGGAGCTGGCCCTTAGACTTGGAGAATGTCTTTACCTGCTTGTCCCCAGACGAAAACCGGGTACACTTTTAGCCTTGCAATATTCTTTTGATTTAACGAAACTGTGGATTGCCGGTAAGGGGATTTGAAGCAGATACCTCCCGAATCAGCCTCTGTGCTGTGTGGCGTCGAATGTGATATGTGAAGAAGATGATGAATGCACGGCGAAGGGAGGAAGAAAGAAAGAAAAGAAAGCTTATAGGACGGAGAGAATTGTTATAAGGTCTAGTCTATTTGCCATTTATTTAGGTTAATATAGCTAAATACAATTAAATAGGTTATAGACATGACATTAATTTATTTATTTATTTATTTGTGGTATATCTCACGACGCTCCTAGCAACTTAGGCTGTACAGCATCGAATGTTAGCATCATTAATTAATATATTTGGCAGAATATGGAAGGAAGTGGTAGTAGCCTAATTTGAGGAACTATCCTTGTATTTGCCTGGAGGGTCTGAGGTAAACCATACAATACCTCACGCCGTGCCGTAGCACAGGCAGTTTGTTGGCGGCTTCCCACCTCGGCGGCCCGAGTTCTGTCCAAGGTCGTCATATGGTGTTTATGGTGGCCAAAGTGACACTGTGACCGGTTTTCTCTTGCAACTCCTTTTTCCCCTACCAATTCTCATTGAACCCACAGCTCCACATTGATAATTGTTTGATAATTCATTGATAATTCTATCATCTGACGTTAAATAACCTTGATACTGTGACGGCGTCGTTAAACAGGCATCTTATTCTTCTACCTTTGCTGATTAGACTGTCCCGCATGTTTTCATTCAGAATTAATCGCGAATTGTGGATCTTAACGGACAGACGGTAGGACTCCTTGGGCTGGGGATCAGCCTTTCGCAAGGCCGCTACCTACACAGGACAACACAAAAACAGAACAAACGCAGACAGACATTCATGCCTCGAGTGGAATTTGAACCCACGATCCCAGTGTTCGAGCGAGAGGAGACAGTTCATGCCTTAGACCGCGCGGCCACCGTGATCAGCAGTAACCAACTTAAACAAAAGTCAGTCAGGATAGACGGTCTCCTGACCGAGACTTGAACTCGGGAATTCTCAGAAACGAAGCAGTGTTCTGCGCCGTTAGGCGAGAGAGCGCAAGGCTATGTATATCGAGCCAAGAAGGTGCATACGGATCATGTTCCATTCCCACCGCCCCAAGCCCCAGCTCCCAAGACGTGAGTTGCTTGACGTTGTGAGACAGCAGGACAGCGACGACAGCGACGCTCTGTCTCCAGTGCCATTGGGCCTGTTCACTGCTCCACGCTCGGCTTCACTGTGCAGTCAAATGCACCCTTTGCACCCAGAACAGACGAGCGAAGAGGCACGATTTTAGAAACCAGACTTAATTTGATTTTTGTTAAATGAGGAGCTGGGATAGCTCAGTCGATATAGCGACAGGCTGTAGGCTGGACTGCCAGGGTTCGATTTCCGACAGAAGCAGGAATTTTCTCCGCAACATCCACAGACCTGGGGCCCACCCAACCTCCTTCCAGTGGGTATCGGGG